TTATCAAAATAATCACTCTATTGGTGGCCTTTTATAATATTTCTCTCAGGTATGTTGAATTTAAAATTTTTAGATAAAAGCATTACACAGTATATTTTAATAAATGTCTAGTCTTAATTAATATTAAAGCCTTTACTCAGAAAGTAAGATAATTTTTAAGATCCTATTCATAGTTGGAAATAGAAATTGGATGAAAATCATGTCATTGTTAATCATGCTTAAAGGGAAATACTTGTATATTTAAATTACTATGCTCTCTTCAAAGCATAGTCATATCTTTTAATATTTTAAAATAAAATATTATCCTATATCATAATATGTGCTTTCAAATTCTGACCATCCTTTAGAAATAGCCAAGTCGTTTGTGTGCTAATGGTTATTTGGATCAAATCCTCAATGGCTTATTTTCCTGCTGGCTTATTTACTGCCACCAAATACTTTTAGAAATGCATCCCTACATATGAGAAGGACTGGGAAACTCTCCTTCTGCGTAGGTACCTTCATTTAAATAGTACTAATCAGGACCCCATGACCTCATCTGTGGCAAAGTGGTAAAGGAAGGGGAGGTGAAACCGTGAACAGCAGGATGAGGCCACAGGTGACAAAGTCTGGGGCACCCAAGGAGTTCCAGGGGTCCCCACAATGTCATCACATGGATCAGGAGAAAGCAGGAAATTTAGATGGATGTAGCTTGTTATACATCAACTCCTTCTGTAAGACCAATCAGAAGTACATCAAGGGCTAATATCTGTGCTTTCGTTAGAGGTTACCTGTGAAGTCCTGGGCAAAGTCACAGAATTACAGAACTGGAAGAGACTAGAAATAATGTAACCTGAACATTGTTTTTAACATAAGAGATTTATATCCAGAGAACTGAACTAAGTTTTGTGACTTTTGGTTTGTTGATTAGTATCTGATGTGGTAGAACCAGTTGTATGGGCCTTTGGTGATCTTGGGTTTAAATCCTAATCATCACTTATCATAAGTATGGCTTACATATATGCACCATTTAATCTCTATCAGCCTCAGTTTCCTCTTTAGTGAAAAAATAATAATCATATCTACTTCACCAGTTCTTGGAAGATTAAATAATGTATAGGGGGAGAAAACCTTACCTTTTGACTACCACCTAGCAGGCTTTCAGGAAATGGTGGTTCCCTGTTCTCTTTTACCCAAGCATCTCAGACTCCTTCCTCATGGGAGACCTCAAGTGGACCCTTCTGAGAGCTGAGCCTCGGCCATTAATCATGAGCTAAGCAGTACACTGATACTAGCCCCCACAGCTCCAGCAAAAATCAAATTCAGCTGAAAAGACTATTTATTTTTAATCTTCTCAAGGTTGCCTTCCATAGTAACCAACTAAAACCAGTGTCCCAAGAACCACCCTTACTTCATTCCTGATTAGACAGCCTGTCCAGGATACCTAACAGCAACCCAGGACTCAGTAACACAGAAGGAAGGGAGTCTGGCTTCTGTGGAATACAAGGGCACAACCCCTCCTCTTCTCTAGTCATCCCCACCTTCAATTCCCTGTCTATTTCTTCCACCTCTCCTTCCCCTACTTCAACCCTCCACTCACCTCCCTTCATCTCCCTTTCTGCTAGACAAATAGAACTGAGAAGTAACAGGAATAGGCCAGGGGTGGTGGCTCACACCTGTAATCCTAGCACTCTGGGAGGCTGAGGCAGGAGGATCACTTGAAGTCAGGAGTTCAAGATGAGCCTGAGCAAGAGCAAGACCCCATCTCTACCAAAAATAGAAAAAATTAGCCGGGTGTGGTAGTGAATACCTGTACTCCCAGCTACTCGGGAGGCTGAGGCAGGAGGATTTCTTGAGCCCAGGAGTTTGAGGTTGCAGTGAGCTATGATGATGTCCACTGCACTCTACCCAGGGCAACAGAGCAAGACTCTTGTCTTAAAAAAGAAGAAGAAGAAGTAATAGGAATAGAAGTAACTGAATCTTGAATAACTTCTTCACAAATTATAAAACAGGTATCCATTAGCCTTGTCAGATCTATGCATGGATGCTTTTATACCCCCCAGCAGAAAGATCCCAGCATTCCGTGAACTTAATGGTGCCTGTGAATTGTCCCTGTTGTTCTTTTCAGCATGAAAAGGTGCTGCTTCAGAAATACCAGGTTGACCCTCCATGAGAAAAGTATCTTTTCTGAGCAAAACAATTATCCTTTAGAGCAGTGATTCCTAGCCATTTTGACACCAGGAAACAGTTTCATGGAAGACAATTTTTCCATGGACGTAGGGTCAGGGAAAGCTCAGATGGTGATGCCAGCGATGGGGTGCCGCTATAGGGGCTGTAAATACAGACAAAGCTTCGCACTCCCCTGCTGCTCACCTCCTGCTGTGTGGCCCAGTTCCTAAGTTTCATGGAAGACAATTTTTCCACAGTCATAGGAGGGTGGGGGAGCGCAGGCGGTGATGGGCAGCAGGTTCCTAACAGGCCACAGACCAATACCAGGCCCAGTGTGGGGGTTGGGGACTGCAGATTTGCATCATTATGCCTCATTTGCATCTAATTCTAATTTATTGGGTTTTCCAAAGCTTCATCTCTCTTATAGTTCCTATCTTTTCTGGAACCATTTGGTTTACTCAGATTCCCATATCCACTGTTCCCTATTCACATGGCCAAAAAGAAATATCTATCTGTACTTTATGAATAGATGGATACTGGATGGAAAAAAAAAAAAAGAACTCTTGTATACATCTTTCCAGGGATACGAGCTATACTTCACAGGCAGAGAAATATAGTTAACAGAGGAAACATAACACACATATATGTCAATGCTCCATTCTAGTTTAAAAAAATGAGGGTCATGGGTATTTAGAGCAAGGTGTTTCTGGTGAGAGGTGCTACAGGGGAGAGGTGAAAAACTATGCCTTCTTTTGTGGGAAGTAAGAAAGAATTGTAGTTATAAGTGAAGATAGATTAGAACAGTGAACTTCAATCTTGAGTATTTATATCAAAGTGAAAAAAGGATTGGACATTACTTTTAAAATAACTTCCATTGTATACTTCTTATTACAAAATAAACATATTTTGATGATAGAAACTTTAGAAAATGCCAATGAGCAAAAAGAAAAAAAATTGAGAAAAAGAAAAAGAAAATCAGAAAAGAAACCATCTATCACCCTTCATCCTGTCTCCCAGAGATAACACTGATAATACTTTTTAAATGGTGTCTGAGGTTTTCCAGTATTTTCACTTGTCATAAACACCTGTCCATGCAATGAAATATTCTTCTGTAATTTGTAGTTTCCTATCATGTGCGAGTTTCATAATATAAGATTCTAAACAACTCTGTAGTACACATTGCCCTCTCTGTATCTATCTTTGCTGACATGTTCTCCAGTGTGGTATGGCAAGGACTTAGACTGGCCATGTCTTTACTGAATTTTTCTACAGATCATTTTCTATCACAGTTGATTGTCTTTCTTTGAGAATACTATCTTTATTTGTGTGTGCCCAAGTAGTAATCCTTCATTACTAATTTTAATAACAAATAGGAAGAAATTGTATGCAATAGTCATGGCAGGAGCTCTAACTGGCACTATTCAACGAAACCTATTAGAGGAAATATATTAAGCCTAATGTGACCTGCATAGGTTAATTTAACCAGTCATGATCATATTGTTATAAGAATGCAATTAATACTTGTTTTTTATAGGAAGAGAAAATTATACTTGAAGACTATAATAAATTAGTGTTATGTTTGAATTGCCTGTTGGAATTTTTAAAAATATTATTATTATACCAACTGATAAGAGTAACTATGTTTTTTGAGCACTTCCTCTGTAACACATTGAACATGGCATTAATTTATTTTGCACATTAATACCTTGAATAGCAAAATCATAATCCTATTTTGTAGAAGAATAAACTAAGGCACAGAGAGGGCGTTAATTAGCCTGAGGCTAAACAAAGAGTGGGAAAGCTGGGACAGGAACAGGCTATCTCCTTGGAGTCCGCACTCACTCTTCACCAGCATGGTTGGATGGCCTAGATATTAGTGTTTTTCCCATTAATTCCAATTGTGTGACTCCAGTACCATGAAAGAATATTTACACTACAGGATATTGGAAGCATTTCCATGAAGGAATGAACAAGTAAAATACTCTCCCTGTTACGGAGCTGCAAACTACTCATTCAGAAATGTTTGTTCATATTTTAAGGAATGAAATGACTTAAGGCTAATTTATAGAATTTTAGCTTTGAGAAGCTATATTTTGGACTTTATTATAGGTTAAAATCCAGAAAGGCTGTTACATTCTAATATTCAGAACTATACAGTGTGTACAGATGCCTCCTCAGAAAGTTCAGTCAAAATGTTGAGAAGCAGTTTAAAGATCCGTAATATTTGAATTTGAAATTTTTAGCAAATGCATCCTTTCTCAAGATATCTGAACTCTTAAGAGTGGAGAAATTCCCATCTGTTGGGAAAGCAGTGTAGGATAATGGTTGAGAGCATCGGCTCTGGAGTCAGATTTCCTGGATCTCCCACCCACTAGCCATGCAATCTTGAGCAAAATTCTTAATCTCACTGAGCTTCAGCTCTCTGTTCTGTGAAATGGAATCTTAACAGTCCCCGTTCATAGGATTGTTTTGAGGATTAGGTGAGAAATGCCTAGAAAGCACAGAGCACACTGCCTTGCATACAGAGCCTTACATAAGTGTTAACCAATGTGATTGCTATTAATAATTACTGGACTTTCCCACTCTCTCTAGACAAATACAATCCCAGTCAATTTCTACTAACTGAAGTATTCATACATCCCTCTTGCAAGTGTCTATCCAAAATTAATGCTGAAACTGAAGTCCAAGTAGAGGTAGCTCCTTTCCTAGTTTAATTCCTCTTCAACCTTAGAAATCCTTCGCTATATTCCATGGCATTTTCCCCTTTAATAGTAAAGCTAAGATGTGAGCAAAAATTTTGAAAATATGTTCTGGCCTCTGGTTTATATTTATGAATGGCTTTTATTCTGCAGGTCAGCTTCTGGAAGCTGCCGAGCATTATGAAGCATTCCATCAATTGACACAGGGGCGGATATGGAAGGATGAGACAGGCCGCTTCCTCAACTTGTTGGCCTGCGAGAGTCTCCTGAGGACTTACAGATTACTCTCAGACAAAATGCTGGAAAATAAAGAATACAAACAGGCCATCAAAATTCTAATAAAAGCTTGTGAAATAGCCAAAGAAGGTGGGTGGAAAAGTACACTATCACATTGCTTTCTTTAATGGGTAGACACTGGTTCTCCCAAGAGTGAAGTAAAAATCGTCGTGTTAGGGTGATTATTTCCTATGAAATGCAAAGACAAATGCCATCAATATACTTTCAAATTTCACTGTAAAACAGAGATGCCTTAGTGCTGACAACAAGAAATCCATTAGTTTCTTGAAAGCTTTATCTCCCAAATTACAATCCACTGGGGGGAGTGTTGTAAAACGAGGAACCCACTGCGAGAAGGTAAAGCCATCTGCAAAAGTTAAGACTGTGTTATGTATGTGGAAGGGTGTATATTTCTTGCAATCTGAGAGGCCTTTCATTGTTTGTAAATTCCCTATTGTCAGGTAATAGAGAAAGTATGATAAATATTTAGTTATGAGTAACAGGAAAATAAGACTGTAATATATTTTAGACCCTCAAAATGTGGCCTTTGGACCAGCTACATCAGCATCAACAGGAAGCTTATTATAAAAGTGGGGTCTCAGGCCCTAACCCAGACCCACTGGATCAGAACCTGCTGGTAAGATCCCCAGGTGATTCATGTGCACATTCAAAGCAATAAAATTGCTTCTGTGAGAGCTGATCAGATCTTTAATATTCTATATCATTTGTGTATGTGTAAAATATAAAGAAAAAATTTGGAGCTTACTTTTATGAGCTTTAAACTTGTAAAATGGAAGGATATTTTATTACCATATAGTAATTTATTAATAGAGTAGCCTTTTCATGAAGGAGAAAAAGATAGAAGTTATGCTCTTGAACTAAAGTTTATTAGCCCATGGATATATTTAATTGATTGGTTTATTAAATAATAGATGGCTTATTTGGGGTAAGCAGACTGATTTTTCTGGGTAAGATTTTAATTTACTAAAGAGTAAAAGTAAACAGCTTATTCTCACTGTTACTTCTTTTAATAATATTAGTTGAAATACTCATAGAAAAGCACCCCCATTAAAAGATGTATCTCATTAAATGAACTGCTTTTGAATAAGGTGGTCTAGTACCTTCCCCCAAAAGGGTAGACACTGACATAAATAGCTAGCTCTTAGATCAATTTTAGCAGCAAACTTTAGTCACGTGGAAAGTTGCATGGAATTTCAATGTAAAGGGATGAATCAATTAGCCAAAGGCATTTTACTTTAGTTTCACGTTTACTAAGTTGTAAGATTTTTCACAAAGAAATTTCCTCCCCCAGAAAACTTATCATCATACAAACTTATTATATTTATTGTTTATTTTCTGTCTCCTTCTGTCTTTAATTTCTAAAATATAAGTTTTTGTATATTGTTACTCAATTTTAATAGTGTCAAGGTTTCAGATGTAACTTTGTCATTGGTGTTGTTAATCCTATTCTTTTTTTTTTTCTTTTTCTTTTATTTCAGCATATTATGGGGGTACAGATGTTTAGGTTACGTATGTTGCCCTTGG